TTTTCTAGATAAAGTTTCTTGCCTCAGGATCCTGATTCCTGGGATTACAAGTATGACCTAAGCCTGAAGGTCAACTTGGGATACATGCCTCCTATATCAAAGTGGTATATTCAGAAATGGAATATTTTGTGTGAGAAATCACTTAGTGAAATTATACTTGAGAAAAGCCGGGTGATTTACTGTTTTTTAATTTGAGCTTTCTACACATTAGTAACCGATTCAGATTTTTTTAAAAAAGGGAAATACATGAAATATTGCATTCTGTAGCATACCTTCCTCTCAGAATTTTTCTTGTATCAGTCTCTGCTTAGAATATTTTTTCTTAGGCAACTACTGTACATGTTTTTGAATGAAAACAAGTACTTCTAATAATTGTTGTACAATTACTGTACTAATTGTTGAATGCAAACAATTACTTCTAATTATTCTAAATTTTCATATGAATTGCACTTGGAGCTGTAATCTCTGAATAAATCAAAAACAGATCCTTAAGGCATAAATTTAGTTATTGATTTTAGATTTTGACCTTTCTTCTTTCTTAGCTTGAGTGTATATAGCTATGAGTTTTCCTCTAAGCTTGGCTTTTTCTGCATCCAGTGTTTTGTTATGTTATATTTTCATTATTTATCTCAAAGTACATCCTATTTCCACTGTTATTCTTTTAAATCCATTTGTTGTTTAAAAACATATGCTTTAATTTACAGATGTGTGTTAATTTTCCAGTTTTCCTTCTGTTATTGATTGCTTCTTTCATTCCATTGTGGTCACTGTTTTTTATTTAAATCTTTTAAATTAATTGAGATTTATTTTGTGGTCTAACATGGTGCATCCTGGAGTATTCCACCTTTGCACTGAAGAAGAACATATATTCTGCCCTTGGTGGATGGTAAGTTGTAACTCAATTAAATCTACTCATTGTATAATGTTTTTCACATACTATCATACTATATTTTCTTACTGGTCTTTTGTCTAGTTTTCTATATACTCCTGAAAGAGGTATTGAATTCTCTCAATAGTATTGGAGAATTTTCTGTTTCTTCCCTCAAGTCTGTCAGTGTTTGCACCACATATTTTTAGGTTCTATTGTGAGGTGGGTATATATTTAGAATTATTATATTTTCTGGATGACTTACATCTTCTATGAGTATATAGAATGCCCTCCTTTGTCCCTTGCAACAATTTTATCTTTACAGTGAACCTACCTCTCTTTTGTTACTATTTTCATGCAGTAACTTTTTCCATCTTTTCACTTTCAACCTATCTATGATATTAAATTTAAAATGAATCAAAGTTTGAGTATAACTCAATTATGATTTCTTTTATTGCTATCAATTCTACTGATTTTTTTTTTACTGCAGAATTTCATCTATATTTAATGTAATTACTGATAAGGACATTTTGTCATTTTACTATTATTTCTTTGTGTAATACTTTTTGTTCTTCAATTCCTTTATTACTGTCCTTTTTTGAAATTAACTATTTCAATATATCATTTTGGCTTTATTAAATCTATAATAGGGAGCATAAAAAAAAAGGAGAGAAATCGACCATGATTGGTTCCAGAGTTTGTTCTCTTGTGGTGGATAAATGGAAACATATTCTAGTAAATGAAGCCTGGGATCATTGAATAAAGTTAATATTAGTTTAGGTTCATCTCTCTTGTTCCACTTCAAAAAGCGTGCATGTAATATATTCCCCTGGAAGATGAAGTTAATAAAATTGCACTTTAATTTCATTGTCTTCTCTGATATATGCCTTATGATTCTGTCACCAATTTAGGGCTCTAGATATATTTCATGTATGTCTTGATAGTCTGATGTTTTGAGACAACCATCAAATGGAATAGGGCTCTGAAGATTGTCTTCTCTGAACTACTTATAGTCCTTGTATTATATATAACAATAGATAGACAGACAGATAGATAGACAGACAGATATTACACATATTTCCTAATTTTCCAATTTAAAAATCATGTAAGACTTTAGGAAAACATCACATTAGTTTAAAAAGAAATGTAAAAATGCCTCATCTCTACACATTTAATTGATTATATTAAATGTGTTACTGAGCTGAATTTTCAATTTTGGCTTATTCTATAATTGTCAAATGCCTTTCATTGTAGCCCTTCCTTGCTGGAAATATCACTGAAAGTTTTGTCTTCGAGAAAAACCAAATGTACATAGTGTGTACTTAATAACTGATTTCTGAATGATTTACTAATGAAGATGAGTTCCTTCAATTTCTTGGAGATGGGAGAGCTTAATTTGAACAGCAGTTCTGCTGATACATAGAATAAAACATAGCAGAAATAACTACGGTCTCCAATTTATATGATTATAATAGAAGTCTTTGAGAGAAGGAAAAGTCTCTATTTTTCAGCATGAATCCACTGTTAAATGAGCATTGCCTTGCACGAAGGATATTTCCTTAGAATACAAGAAAGATGGAAACAACTCAAAGAGATAAAACACACAACCTCAGTAGGTTGAGAGTCTTGATTTCAAACTCAGAGAGCTTCCTGAAATCCTAAGGTTGAGCAACCATGTGGATTTCTCTTCTTCAGGGAAGAAACTGTATAAGAGCACTGATCAGTACACTCTTAGGCCAATAAATGAATTAGGATCAAGAACCTAGCTGTCTTTGTTAAAATACCTTTCAAGGAAATGTTGACAACTATAATCATGTTCTTCTCCCCTACAGGACTGCCAAAGAGGAAATAAAGTTTTAGCAAGAACCTGATAGCTGTAATGTATATTGCTTACTAAACATGCAATCAATCATTAAGGGTTTTCATAAAGAGAATCCAAGTAAATGTGAAGAAATTTAATTCATTGAGATTCATCTTGATGTATCTTTCCAACACATTTGAAAGCAAAATTGTGTTTCATTATGACAAGAAAATGTATGATTTATATGTAAGAACTTAAAGTGAATTGAGTTCATTAAGCATGTCCTTGTCTAGAGGAGGTCAGAGATCCTTTGACAATATTTTCAAGAACAGGGCTGCCACCTAAATTCTATACAGTAGCTCAGGTAACTCTTGAGTATTCAACCTTTTCTTTTCTTCTTTATTTGTGCTGCTTGGAATCAAACTTAGGACCTCACACATGTTAGGAAACTATTCTACCATTGAGCTATACCTTAGCCCTGCCTGTTTGTTCAACATTAGGTTCTAGTATTTTCGGCTATGAATCACTTTGAGTAAAATACTATATGAGAAAAACTAATAATTCTGTGAAACACCTGTAAATGCTACATTATCTGTTGCATAAGGCTTCTGGCTAGTTGACATCACTATGTGACCAAGGGCAGCATTATGACATGAAAGTGGAGATGAAGTACCTAGGACAAAAGTGCTGATCAGGTACAAGCTTGAAAGTTTGATGTCCTAAGTAGTCTACATCAACAGAAAATCGTAGGCCTAATAAACTTTCTATGTTAAGGAGATTAGAAAGCTTTTATCAGTCTTGTAAAACAATTTTATGTGACTTACCAGAAATGAAAGCAAAGCTGTACAAAAAGATTTATACTGTTTTCAAATTTTCAAGACAAGAGATTTTGATAAAATTCATTATTTTTTTCAGTTTAGCTCCATGACAAAACATAGTTTATTTATTATGACAGGGTCTATATCATCTTCAATATTTTTCAAAATAAAAACATTTTCAGGGTGTAGTTGCTTCCTTTAGGTACCTCCCCGAATCAATTTTTTTAGAGACAGGGTCTTGTTATGTGGTTCAGGATGGTCTTGAACTCACTATGTAGAAAAGGTTGGCCTCAAACTCACTGCAATACTCCAGTGCTGGGATTAAAGATATATGCCACCACACCTGGCACTTTGAATCAATTTTGCAAAGCATATCTCCTAAGAAAAACACACAAAAATATGTCTATATCTTTTTTTACTTTAAGATATAAGAAATCTTAAAAGATTATAAAGATCCATACAAAGACTACATTTTTAAAGGTGAAAACGTATAAATGTAATTTAAATGATCTGATCCATGTCACAATTACTTGAGTTGCAAAGTCAGCAGCAACATCTGAGAAAAGCAAAAATTCATGGAGCACTTGTTTTTTTGTTGAGAATTCTTCCATATGCTTTGCATAGCTAGATGACAACAACCCTATGAGGCAGGCGTCATTATATTCTTGGTACAGATAGCAACACAGAGAAGATATGTTATTTGTCTCAGATCACACAACTAGTTAGTGGCAAAGCCAAAATAGAATCCCAATTTTTAAATTTTGTTTGGGGGAAAGGAGATAAAGATTTTTAAAAATCACCCTTATTGTTATAGTTTACATACAATAAAATTAAACAATTTCAATGTACAATTACATGAGTTTTGAAAAATGTAATACAGTTATCTAACCATCAGTACAGTGAAAACATAGAATATTTCCCACCATCCTAAAACAATCCCTTTACTCCCCTTTGTAGATGATTTCCTTGACCTATTTCTGGTCCTTGACAAGCACGTTCTTCCTTCTACTTCCCATCTCCCACTTTAGTTTTGTCTTTTTATTAGAATGTTAAGTGAATGAAACCATATAGAATATATGCATTTTATATCTGAGTTCTTTCACTTAGACTAATGCCTTTGCAATTACTTCAAACTAAGGTACATATTAGCATTTCATTCCTTTTTATTGTTCAACAGTACCCTACTGTATGACTAAACCTCAGTGTGTTTATCTAGTTGATGAACAATTGAATTGTTACAGGGTTATGGCTACTTTGAACAAAGATGCTATGAATATTTCCATATAAGTTTTTTATAAACATGTTTTCAGTTCTCTAGGGTAAATACCAAGGAATGAGACTGCTAAATAATGAGTGATAGTGCTTGTTTTTGTTACTTTCTGGCTGCCATGAACTGTTTCTCCTCTGTAAGGCCTGTCTGCATACTACCCTGCCCTGAAGTCAGCCAATTATGGACTGAAACCTCTATGAATTGTACATGAGAAGTTTTTTTGGCAGTTTGGAAGTGACTGATCACCTTGCCCTCATTTCTATCTGACCTGTGTTGGCAAGGGAGACTGCCTAAATGAGCAAGATAGCACAGCAAAACAGTACTCCAGGAGTGAATGGAATAAGTGTTATTCATACTCAGGCACATGCTAGCGGCTTACAGCAGGTTCCTCAGCCTGTGCCTGCTGGCCCTAGGGAAGGAGGCAAATCCATTCCTCCAAGCAAGCAGAGCAAAGAGAGTTCACCCATGGATCCAAAGAGTAAAGAGTATCATCAGTGCAGAGAGAGGAACAACATGGCTGTGAAAAAGAGCCAATTGAAAAGTAAGCAGAAAGCACAAGATATGCTGCAAAGAGTGAATCAGCTCAAAGAAGAGAATGAATGCTTGGAAGCAAAAATTCAATTGGTGACAAAGGAATTAAGTGTACTGAAAGATTTGTTTCTTGAGCATGCACACAACCTTGCAGACAATGTGAAGCCAATTAGCACTGAACATACGACAACAAATTCTGATACTGCAGGACAGTAGACCTCAACATTCCCAGACTTCACATCTGTGGCTTGAACATTAAAGGTGTGACTGCCTACACCACTCAGATGTCCATGGCTGAATGTCATCTTTTCCATTATTCAAATATCCATTGGAGGTTATTTTCTAGGATTAGCACTGAAGAGTTGATTAGCCATGTCATTTAAATATATGCCTTTAAATGAGGTGGATTTTTGTGGCAATTGAAAAACAAAAAATTTTAAAGTATATGGTAAAATAAAAAAACATGTCCTGGACTTTATTGTTCTTAGTAAGTCCTGACATCCCCAGAAATACTTCTTTTTTAAGTTGACAAAAGTAGTGGGAAACTGGCAGGTCATGCAGAAGGTTCTCAGTTAGAGAAAAGAAACAAATCATATACAAAGGAAAGCCAATCAGAATCACAGCAGACTTCTCAATACAAACCCTCAAGGTAAGAAGAGATGCGAGTGACACATTTCAAGCCCTAAAGGAAAACAGCCTCCAATGCAGATTGATGTACCCTGCAAAACTATCTTTCAAAATTGATGGAGAAATAAGATATTATCAGGACAAAGAGCACCTGAGGAACGTCATGAATAACAAATCAGCACTCCAAAAAATTTTAGACAATATCTTAGGAAAAGAAAACAAGGAGAATCAGCCTGCTGCACACAGGAAGACACCTGGTTCCACACTACAAAGAGGTAGAGGACACCAGACCATCAGACCAAGGTACTGAGTCCCACTGCTCCTGGTCCAGAGGAAGGGGCTTCTGGGTCACCATCCCTCCCGCTGCTCCTGGCCCAGAGGAAGGGGCTTCTGGGCCACCATCCCTCCAGCTGCTCCCAGCCCACAGGAAAGGGCTTTTGGGTCACCATCCCTACCGCTGCTCCTGGCCCCTGTCTCACCTCACCCACCTCAGAGGAAGTAATCCGTGCAGGCGCTAACAGCCCCCCGCCCCAGTTGAAATGAGAAAACA